ACTATACGTTTTCACAAAATCGCATAAGTCGATTACCTTCAAAATGTTCCTTTTAAAACTAGATACAGAGTAAAACTAAATGAGCATGACTTTTGTGAAAATATAGCTCTGAAATATTAATTTCGGCCGTATGAAATCCATTGTTTAGTTTTGAAGTAGATTATGCACTATATTTAAATAATCTCAAATATCTCATAATTAGCTAGATAGATTTTTTCAAAAATCCCCACAAATGGAGGCATCCAGTACATAATTATGTGGTACGAAGCATTTTAGTGTTGAACGCTCTGCAAGACTAAAACTATTTTCTAAACGAAATCAAATATTTCATCCTAATCACGTGTTATGACGTCCGATCTCATAAAAAACTGCATCAAACATTAATTCAATCTTTATGTGACTTATGTGCAAAAAAGATTTGCAATCGGATAAAAGACGTTTATGCACTAGCGTTCCAAAAGTGGAAGGTAGCGGTCAAGCGTGAGGGGGTCGAGCCACCTTACTAATCCGTACCAAGAATGAACATTAAGAGAAAATTCTTTTCATATTCAAGCAGTGAGCGCCAAAAACTATTTTCTTGAAGAAGGCTGTTATACAAGGCTAAAATCTCGTTATTCAGAAAGTTTAACTTGTTTGGAAGTGGAGAAGACCCGATGAAAGTGGAATCAAAGTTTTAACCTAAAGCAAAAATTTTATTCGAAAATGAGGTTTAGGCCTTCATTTGCTTATTTCCCACATATTTTCTATAAAAAGCCTGACAAAGCAACATTCTAACACAAATGCAACAAAACATCTTTGTACAATGGAAAATACCGCTTCAAACAGGCACTTTATCATAGTACATCAGTTTAAAACTGTTTAAAAAAGGTTTTGAGTGTTAATCCAAAACGAAAATTGGGATCAAAACTCATACGAAAGTCTAGTTTTTGGCGCTTTTTGCCATTATTGCTCATTATTGAAAAAAATGTACTCTTCAAAGGTATACTAGTGAGAGAAAAAACATGGCCACCGTATGAGAAAGGTGTGTTTTATACAGGGTTTTTCTCTGAATTATCTGGTTTTCCTCCCTCAGCGCTATCCAACGTGCTTACCAGCGAGCTAGCCGTGCCCTGACTTTAATCAGCTAGCCCAAAAGATGTTTCAGGGTGTGGATAAAATCGATGTTCACAATTTTTGACTTGAGTTACCTTTTGTTTTTCAGGAGTAGAGATCCATATAGGGTTTACCTTAGCACAGTGGAACGACAGTAACCTGGATGGACCCTTGACCTGTGCTACTTTTACATCAGATAATAAACCTTTAAGGGTAGAATGTCAGGTAAGAATAAGACCAATAATCGTCCTATTTTATTCCACTGAATAAACCATATGAAAAACGAGTGTACGACTACGACGTTACTGCTTGTTTATGTGGGAGATAGAATCGCCAAATCCAATAAAAAATTCAACAAAATTTGCTCCTAGCGAAACAGTTTAATCTAAAATGGCCTGGTTTTCAGATATAATATGTGTTGATATGTACTAAAAAAATATTCTGAGCGTTTGCTGGCTATTCTACTTCTCTTCGTAGATCGATACGGGTTTTAGAACAATTTTCGGTGAATTTGCGTTGATTTGACCCCCTCCGACGACCATGATCCTTTGCGTTTAAACAATAGATTGTTTTGATGTGACGCCATAGTGAAGTAGGGCAATTAATGACTTCAAAAATATATTTTCATTACGAGAAAGATCATGTCTAAATTAGTAATTTCGGAAAGTTCTGTTGTCATATATTAAATCCCTGAAGAGTAATAAGCATTTGAAATTTATCAAAACCATGAAAGCGATGCTAGTAGGCCCTTGGTTGTTGTTTCCATACAAACCTTTCTAATTTCAAACAGCTGTAGCTTTTTATCATTTAATGTTACTACAATGAAATTTTAGAATTCACTAATTTCGATATGCTCTTTCTAATGAAAGCATTGTTATCTTCTATAACTGATGACCTAAGGTATCTCAAGGGACACGCCTTTTTTCATATGGTCTATACTGTGACCTTTATGCACCTACTGACATGGAGGGTCTAAAGATGTTGATAGTAATGATAAATAAGTGTTCGTAATCGTTGATTGTGAATATGATGATGATGATGATGAATTTTTTTGGTAATGATACATTTGGATAATGATAACGATCATGGACGGTGGTGAAGACCATCAGAGTGTTTTATCGTTAGTAATTTCGGTGTTCGTGGATAAAAGCAACAGCCAGTAATTATTTTTCTTCTGTTTAATTCAGGCGTTTTTCTGCTTCCAAGAGAAAAGAGTAGATTACCAGGCCTTCAAGGGTAAGCCTTCAGTTCAGTGGTTTTACAGAATGTTTTGAAATCAAAGGGAACATAAATATCAATGAATAGGTAGCCTGGGTCAACTGAATCTGTATTCCTGTCTATGAAAAGCATGAATAGATTCATTGTGTTGCTTAAACTCGGTGTCAGGGCTCATTTATTGTGTAACAGAATGTTAGGGAGCGGTCATTTCTCCCTGGGGGTGGGGGTGGGGGGACAATCAGAGAATTTAGGAGGATCACGTTTTTAGCTATAGACCAGTAGACCACTGGTGTGAGGGGCGATAATAAATGTCCAGTCCCTTAGGTGTTGAAATGGAACTTTTCTCCTTTTAAATAATGTTTCAAATACGAGTTGCTGTATTCTATTGGGGTTTCAAAATCCGAGTGGAATTTCACGAGTATATTGAAACAACAATAGAATACAGTGACGAGTATTTGACACGACATCTAGCTTTTGTTATGCTTGTTTTTATTTCAAAGTTCTAGTACTTTGAAATATTTGAAAGTCCGAGTAGTAGGACTTTGAAATATTTCAAAGTACTAGAACTTTGAAATGGGTGCGGTCGTATTTGATGGGGGTTTCAAACTACTGCACGTGGTACAAATAAGAAACCCTGGTTGGTCGATGAGGTCATGAATAATTAATAAGTATAAGATTTGTAATTCTAACGTTTGTTTCCTTGCTAGCTATTAATGACAGTTGTTTGGTATTTGATGGAAAACTTGTGGTGAACGCCAATTTCCATACCAATGATCCGTTCATCAGAGCTGCAGGACCACTGACCAAGTATCAGAGAAGRTACCACGCAGAATCCTGGTAAGTTAGCAAGCACTGCACCTCACAATGGGTCTAGGTTTTCATCTGTATACGTGCTAGGGCTTCCTCTTGAGGGTGCTGCCTTGGAAATAGGAGGGGAGGGGAGTGTCTTTACCTCCTGTGCCGTCAGATGCCCCTTATAGACCCACTGCATGATCCCCAGTCTCGGGGGCATAACAAAGGAATTATTCATCTCCTAGAAGTCAACAAGGTCTATTACGCCTTTACGTTTCCAGAGAATGGCCCTTTAATTTATAGTGTTTGTTCTTTTGTTTCAGGACCCACGCTAATTATAATTCAAAAGAAATCGGTTCTGAGGTGAGTTCAGCTAGTTTTTCCGCATTGGATATTAGTTAGTTAAGGGAGTGGTCTCCTGCAGTCGACTAGCAATATGATATATAATATTCCAGAAATGCATTTTCAATTAACTGGATTCCTTTGGCATTTAGCATGGCCCTTGCCACTAAACACGCCTTCCATTGGTACCAAAAGGGCTTTCTCTTGACACTAAACTACTTTCCTTTGGCACAGTATCTGGCTTCCCTTGCCACTAAACAGGCTTTCCAAAGGCATCAAAAGAGCTTTCTCTTGACACTAAACTAGTTTCCTTTGGCACAGTACCTGGCTTCCCTTGCCACTAAACAGGCTTTCAATGGCACCAAAAGGGCTTTCTCTTGGCACTAAACTAGTTTCCTTTGGCACAGTACCTGGCTTCCCTTGCCACTAAACAGGCTTTCAATGGCACCAAAAGGGCTTTCTCGTGACACTAAACTAGTTTCCTTTGGCAATTCTCAGGCTTCCACTGCCACTAAACAGGCTTCTTGATTTGAAATAGTGTTTCATCTTCTATAACTAATTTGTTCTTTATGACAGCTTGCACATTCCATGCTAGTTCTCTTTGACCCAACACTGGAAGGTTTCTCTCCCGAGCCAGTCTCGATGGAAGACGATCAGCTGGTACCGATATACAAACAAGCTAAGATGTACAGTGCTTTGCTGCCAGGTCAGTAAACGTAAGCCTATTGCAGACCACGTGTCATTCCCTCGAGTATGACTTCTTTGTGTACCAATAAGGATTGAGAGTATCGGGGGGGGGGGGGGGGGGATCTCTGCGTTTTGCATGATGCCAGTGAAACTATTTGTCCTGTCATAACTACTAAGGGTAGCGTCGATGCTAATCAATGTTTTATGATTTTCGTATCGCATCTAGGTGGTTATCACTATCTTCACGTTGGTAAACCAGGCCTCAACTTACCACTGGATTCGCTTATGGTACAGCCTGAATACGTAAGTAAAGATATTATCCCCCACCGCCCTCTTTGTACACAGATCCGATTCGATCATAGATCGAATTGGAATTGAACTTGTTGGGTATTGTTGAGGAAGGTAAACTCAAAATCAATGGATAATAATAAGTGAAGTAAATAAAAATCATGTTCTTGTGCGCTCACTGCATGACTCGTGAGTTAATGGGAATAAACACTCGAAGATAAACTTGGGTGAAAACAAACTCCCTAAAAATATTCCGCATTGATGGTAATGGAGGCGCACTTAACATGTGAACTCACGTTCGATTCTCAGACGTTAAGCAGATAGTGTCGATTTATCGTGGTTATAGATAACAGGTTCTAAAAATATATTGTTCTATTATATATTTTTGTTTTAGGGTCGAGAATTGGTGACAGGAAGTGCTAAACACGATGAGTCCAGCCCAGGTTACTTCCGGTTACATGTCAATCAGTACAGATCCATTGAGACAATCACCTGTCTGAGTAAACAAGTAAGAGACCCATCAACTATCAGATACTGTGATATTGTGACTGATACTGTGATTGGACGAAGTTCCTTTTCTCAATCTTTGATTGGTTCATATTAAAAACCATTTGAGTGTCACATTTTCAAAAATCTGTTTTCAGCAATACTTGATATTTGTAATTTTCTGTAATTTTATTGAGCTATGGCCTACAAGTTGGGTGTATTTATTTCCCAATTTTAACCATAAAACGTTAAACAACTTAAAATCGGGCGGGGGCACACATGCAACTGTTGCGAACAACGTTCCTGCCCACAGTGTCACACGTAACAACTTTTCCTGCAACTAAATTGAAGTAATGCAACCCGAGTTTGAATTCTGTGCTCGGCGTCGATTGTGACTAGAGCTGTTTGTTGGTTCTCTCCTGTGCTTCTTCTGGTTCTCCGACTTTCCTCTTCGCGCTGAATTTAGCTTCTAAATTTTGAATGGAACAAGGGCCACAGCTTTATTAACCACTGGATATTAAGTGATACTCTCGTGCAGCAAGGATGATTTACTTACTTCAAGCAGCGCATTTTATACTTAACCCTGTCTATCTAACACAGAGATTTAACTCGCTCTACTCTCTGTTGTATTTGCAGCCCATTGACACGAGTAATCTGTTATGCCTTTATGGACTACACGAACGCTATCTCAACAACCTGCTACAGCGCTTCGACGAAGATCTCATAACGAACTTCTATAGGTTGGTAGTCCTTGAAATGATGTTATCTGAAATATCGATCTCTTTACAATATTGATTGGCATAATGTTTCTTTCACCTTGAAACAAACTAACTTGGTTTCATACATTTTCAGCTTTTTCCGCGAATCTTGGTGTCTGGCAATATTCCACGACAGATTTAATGATTTCAGGGAAGAGGTTCGCGAGTTGCTCGTCAGTAAACCGGTAAGGGTCCGTGGACATTGATCATTCAATCTGCTGTGCAGGGTGTTGTTTGGTTCTCGTATTGAATATCTATCTCGTTGGTTATAGGAACAGGATGCGCACTCACTAGAAGAAAAAGTACGCAAAATGATTGATGAAGATCTTGTGGTAAGTGGTTGTTCTTAGGGTCTTTCTTATTCTTCTAGGGACTTGTAGCATAGGGAATGTACTGAACAAATAAAATGAATTGAATGAAGAAACGAACTAACGAATGAATGAATACGGCTAAAAGGGATGGTGAGGGTTTTGTTGCATGTTTGCATGTTGTATTCTGCTTGTTGCATGTTGCTTGTTGCATTTTGCTTGTTGCATATTGCATGTCGCATATTGTATGTTGTTTGTTGCATGTTGCTTGTTGTATTTTGCTTGTTTCATGTTGCATGTTGTATTCTACTTGTTGCATATTGCATGTCGCATATTGTATGTTGTTTGTTGCATGTTGCTTGTTGTATTTTGCTTGTTGCATGTTGCATGTTGTATTCTGCTTGTTGCATATTGCATGTCGCATATTGTATGTTGTTTGTTGCTTGTTGCATGTTGTATTTTGCTTGTTGCATGTTGCATGTT